TAGAGCACATTCAAACCCCTGATTATTTTTAACGGCTGTCAAGCAAAAGTACCGGCACCTAAATGAAAAAACTGACAAGAATGACAGGGGTGAAATTTACCAAGCGGCAGAGTTGGTTAAGAAAGAGTGCACACCTGGGTAGTGCCCCGGATATTTTCGAACTAGCATGAACAATTCATTTTCGAACGGCTGGTGTGCACTCGGTGTGACGCCCAGACTGATTTCGAACGCATTCTAGAAGTTGAATGTTGAAGTTGGATATAAGTTGTATTGCTTTCAAAAGTTTGAAACACTATAGCTACTCACTCCGGTGTTAGTCGACCCCGATTTGAAAGGAACAGATGCGCTGGCTTCCATGCATTTAAAAGGTTTAACCCACTGATCTCAAAAATAAACGGATAAACAAAGAACGCTTCTAATGCTGCTAATTTACGAGGTCAAAATCGAAACAAAAACAACTGACTGGAACAGCTTTGAGCGTGCGCAGTAGATATATGTATTGTGTGTGCACAAAATCTGGCCAATGAAAATGAAGGAATTTCAAAATTTAGAAAAGTTGTTCGAAAGATAAGTCACTGCGCAGGCGTTAGGCTGTTCCGTTGCACTACTGTTCGTAGAATATTGACCCCAAATTTTTGCACAAACTTCGCCAATCAAGCCGTATGAATTGCTTATCCATTTATTTTTTAGATCAGTGGTTTAACCCTTTTCACGTGGCTCCGGTTTAACATACCGCTCAAATTCGAGTGGTATGTATCCATCACGTCACTTTGTAACCGGGTTATAAAACGGTATGTCATTTCTCTAACCGTTTTGTAACTCGGTTAATTAAAAAGGAGCCACGTGAACAGAACTTTTGAGTCGAGCTTGAGTACTCAGGTGCAACAAACACTTTTCGAAAGGAATAAGCCAATAAGCGCGTGAAGCCCCGGAGCTGTTCCGGAGCTCCTCCTAGATGTGAAAGGAATACAACTATTGGGATGCCGCGCCGCGATACTAAAAAAATATCGCTATTGGTATCGATCGGGATCAATTTTTTTTACACCGATCCCTCGTATCGGCTGAAAGCGTAGTTCAAATAGAGATGCGAATCACGTATTGCAAATTACAAATCCGAATTTCGTTGAAAAAAAATCTGCGTTTTTCAGCCCTTACTTTCATAAGATGCGAACTTCCCAATGACCCTTTTCACGTGGCTCCGGTTTAACAAACCGCAACCGCTCAAATTCGTGGGGTAGGTATCCATGACGTCACTTTGTAACCGGGTAAGAAAACGGTATGTCATTTCTCTAACCGTTTTGTCCCCCGGTTAGTTAAACCGGAGCCACGTGAAAAAAACTAATTATTCTAGGAATATTTGTTTTTTATAACCTTAAATAATTGTTTTTGTCGTTTGTTGCAATGGGCTCTTTCACTAATTTTTGAAATTGGCATAATTGGATAAAGCAACTAAAAACAGAATTTTCTATATTTTTACTTTTGAAAAATTCACAGTCCTTCTTGAGAAAATAGAAAAAAAAAGAAATACCTCCGAATAAAAACCCAGAATTTATTTCTATGACGTCGCAGCTTGCTTTTTGACCGTGTTGCCACTAATTATCAACGTTGAAAATTTGTAATAGATTTAATTCTAAAATGTTGGCAAATTACCATGATAAGTAATTGAATTAATTAGTTATGGATTCAAGATTTTATAATTTTTTTTTTGAAATTATGCTTAAACACAATTTAACTCAATTTTTTGTGTTTAGTCTTATTTATTTTTTCACGTCGCACTCATTGTCGCACTACATTTAGTCACAACGGACAACAGCGCATTCGAACCTTTACCGTGCTTTTCAGGGTTGCTATTTCTAGTACAATTGTACTAGATCTAGCACAGTCACGTTTTACCTAGTACGCTGGTACCTCTCTCATAAATCTAGTACAATTTGGATTACGAGTCGAGTGTCGCTCTTCGCTCTGAACCAATGACTTCACGTGTATCATGTATCGGGAGTTATTCGGTGATTCAGCCGATCACGGTAATCAGTAGTCGATTTATAACTAAATATCCGTGCGTTCGGTAATTTGATCTGAGTTCTCCGAGCTTGAAGTTACCGTTCGTTTATATAGAAAGTGAATTCAGTGCAGGCTCATTCGCGTTCGTTTATTAAAATTTCTGGCACTTCGATACATCGTTCAACTGCTCTGTTCGCTCGCTGGTCACGTGATTACGGCTCCGCTCAGCACGCTCTGCTCTTTGAGCAAAATACCGAACGCAAGGTAAGTAGAAAATTATTTATTTCTATCATTCAGGGCCGGTTTCTCAATAGCGAGTCACCCCCAGGCTGAGCAGAACTCCAGGGTAAACATTGCAACTGAACACGTTTACCATAGAGACGTTTACCGTGGAGTTAAAATCAACCCGGAGGTGACTCGCTATTGAGAAACCGACCCTAAAACAAGTGATATTTACCCCCAATTAGCAGAGCCGACATTTGTATTCAAATTTCAAAATTTGACGCGCTTTCAGCTAGTATACAAGTCGCCAATCTGGTACAATAATTCCCTATTTTCTGGTACAATTTTTTTAGTGCTGATAGCATTCCTGGTGCTTTTAGTAGAGGCGTTGATTGAGGAGGTAGAGGGTACACGGTACACAGCAGAGCCGGTGAGCTGCTTGTAAAATGAAAAATATTCAGGCGACGTCATCGATTTGGCGCGTTTTAAATCAGTTCGAATTTAGCCAATTTTGAGTGCCTGTAGAAAACTTATTTCACGTTGTGGATCATTTTTTTTTTGGTATATATGTCTAAAGCTATAAGTCCTCATAATCGCGAATTGCGAACTTTTTTTCTGCGGAATTGTTCCTATTGGTCCAAATTATTTGAAATTATAATGGCGGGAAAATCTCGCGAATGTTTTCAACTCTCGCGGCATCGCAAAAAAATTGAAATAATTGAACTTTTTGACGAATAATCTGATAATTTGGACCAATAGGAACAATTCCGCAGAAAAAAAGCTCGAATTCGCGATTATGAGGACTTAGCTTTAAATAGTCCCTCCTTTAGGATTTCATACCTAAATTACATATTCAAATTTTAGTGAAAGAGCCCATTCGCAAGAAAGAAATTTAGATGCCTAAAGCCTAGTCTCCATAGACGCGAAATCGCGGAAAGCGAATTTTTTAAGTGTCATTTTTTGGTGGCTATTTCCGAGCAAATTATTCCCATGTCTCCATAAGCGCGAAATTCGCGTTTTATTTAACAGGTTAAGGTTACCTATGTGTTGTTGTTTGTAATCAATTTGAATTCGATTTAAATGCTTTGAATTTCAAACACTAATCTTTGAAAATCATGAAAGTGATTACTAAAAAACAAAAAAAGATATGTGTCTTGGTGTTGTCTTAATTACATTTAAGGCCCTATTATAATCTTCCTCATCGACCAGCAAGCTGTAATTTATGTCTGTCTTCGGGTCTACAATATTCAATTCTTTGGCAGTATCCATTCTTTATTAGGTATCTACAAGTACAAAACACATCAACGACTCACAGAGAACAGAGCACATACCGACAAAAACATAAACAAAACTAAACTGAAAGTAACACCACATAACCTCATTTTTTTTTAGCGAAATTTCGCGGAAAGTTAAAAAATAGTTAACTTTTTTGCGACGCCGCAAGAAGTTAAAAAATTCGCGAATTTTTCCCGCCATAAAAAAATCAAATGTTAAATGTCAAATTCCAACCAATCGGAAAATATCCGCAAAAAAAATTCGCGATTTCGCGTCCATGGAGACTAGGCTTAAGGGCGGGTATTATAAAACTGCTTTGACAGTTAACTTGAAGTTAACTTTTTGAATAACATGTATTTTCAGAAGTTAACTTTAAGTTAACTCTCAAAGTAGTTTTATAATACCCGCCCTAAATAAAACAGCAAGGAGCATATTATAATATTGCAATAAACAATTAGGGAATCCAAACCACGTGACCTTTCCCAACCAGCCGGCATTTTGAAATTTTCACGAGGTTAGAATACGGCTTGTTACATGTCAAAGATGTCAGATGTGAGAACTCGCCCCGTTTATTGATGATCCCGCCGCCAACAAACAACAAAACATGTTTTTTGTTTGCCAACCAGGCGCCAATTTGACAGGTCCTTGGATTGCCTAATAAAAGTTCTGCAGAAATCACAAACCAGTCAGAGCGATTTCAATTGGTGGAAAACAGTCAGAAAACTAGTTTCAACCAATGAAATTCACTTTGACTGGTTTGTGATTTCTGCAGAAACAGACCTAAAGAAAACACACAGCAATGCACAAAAAACTAAACTACAAGAATTAAACTTCAACCGAATTTTCGCGACGAATGTAGTTCATCCAAGGACGAACCATAGTTCGTCTGTGACGTCATGAGTTTAAACGCTGGCTAGAAGCTGCATCCATGCTTCCGTCAAACTACGTCCATTATGACGTCATGAGTTTCTCGTTTCTCGCGAAAGCGTTTGTGTTCATGAATCATAGAAGTAGTTCGTCGCGAAAATTCGGTTATACAAAAATGGCATTTCTATTTCTAGGGGATTTCATTTACTTGTTTTGACTTCCGACTTGAGTGCACGAAAAATTTTACACACATCTACACTTTGATAAAACTTGAGCTGGAAAAACTATATTTCGTATGTCGGTTTTCTACCAAACCGACAAAACAAAAACACAACTTAAACTCAAAACAAAATTCCAACTTTTCCCAAACATTTTCAAGATTAGCGTGTTTTGCGACAGATGGAATTTTGTTTTTCGGGTTAATTTCGGGTTTTAAAACATGTTTTAAAACAAAAACGCAACAATCCGTTTGGTGGAAAACCGGCAGTAAATTATACGGATCGAAAATATATCGATAATAATCGCCTGAAATTATTAATAGATAATAAAAATATCGATAATATCGCGGCATCCCTAGTTTAATGATTAGTTTGGTTAGGTTATGATGTATTGTATTTTTATTTTGTATTTTTTTTAAAAGTATTTTTTAAATTGTCACAAGCAGGCTCTAAGGAAACTTCTGTGAAAATTTAAATTGGAACTGGTTTCGGATGTAGCATAGCTATAGCTAGCTTGAAATAGCTATACCGTTTAAGGCTATACTCGATCCCTGCCCTGCTTGTACGTTGCTGTATATTTGTATTTGTAGTTTTTACAACACTTTTTTATCTGTCAAGTTTCAGTAACTTATCAATCATATGCTAGTCAAGTAAACAAAATAAAATTTTGAAGAATTTTTTAGTTCCAACAGAAACTTTGGGTGAAAATTATGCCTGTAAGCCGTTTAGATATCGTTTATAGGAAACTAATCCTGTCTCAATTTTTTACAAAAGGATGGGGAGTTCCAGAACATCTAGAAAGGTACCTATTTTGTATTTTTGTGGACCTACGATAGAGACTTTCCATTTTAAATTCACCATGATCAAAAACCTCTTTCAGGCTTTTCGATTTCAGAAAAGTTATGTCTAATAGAGAAACCTGCTACCAGCTAGTACCAAAAGATTATTCCGTCACCATTTTAAATGTAAGCTGCTTCTATATAGTTATCTGTTTAATATGTTAACTGTCTATATTTCGATGAAAGAGACTTTAGGTGATCATAAACTGAAAAATAGTCGAAGTTAATATTATGTGGTAAACATAAAAATCGCAAAGGATACTGCCACATATTGGTTATCATGCGACCATAAAAAAAAGAAGTTACAGCGAAAGCAAACATCAACAACAGTCAAGACAATATATGGAACTTCATTAAATAAGGTGTTATATAATAATATAATATAAAGTGCGTGGTGGTCCATATCTCCTATATTAACGGAAATCGAAGAAAAAACTAAATACATGACTTGTAGATAAACATGAGTACTACATTCCCAAATTATTAAATTATTAAATTATTTTCCAGTATAGGTACAGGGTGGCCCAATAAGTAGTGGTCATACAAAGTTATGTTTTTTTGAATGACTCCCCCTGTTTATTATGACATTTCTGGATTCTGTGGAAAATTCTAGACATATTCCATGTACAATGTCATATACCTCAAATTCAAATTCAAATTCAAATTCTTTATTCATGTTATTATACAGAGCAGAGTACTTACACACGTCAAAAATGTAATAAAAAAAATAGAGTAAAGCACTATTCATTATATAAAAATTCTAAAAAAAATTGTGAAACTTAATCCTAATTTACCACAATTTAAAAAACAAGAATTTAAAAAACAAGTCAGGTACTATAGAATACATCACACTTTCAAAGGATAACATTACAATTAAAAAATTCACTAACACTATAAAATCCCTTACTCAGAAGAAAATCTTTGAAAGCCCTTCTAAAAGTATTGGGGGGCATCTCCCAAACGTGAGGGGGCAGCTTATTAAAAAGCCTGATCCCAAGGAAGCCAGGGCCATCTTGACCTCTTTTAAGTCGTCTGTGCGGAGGCACTAGTTGCCCACGGTTGCGGGTTTCATAGGAATGCACATTCTCATGCCTGTCAAGATTATGCAGGTTATTCCTCACATGCAGTACACATTCAAGAATGAATTGAGCAGGGACGGTCAAGATCCCTAGGGACACAAACGCGTGTCGACAGTCATCACAGTATGATAAGTTTGCGATAACCCTAACTGCACGTCTCTGGACACGGCAGACATCTGTTGCGCCAGTACAATGGCCCCAAATTAAAATTGCATAAGATATATGGGAGTGCAAAAGGGCAAAGTATGCCTGTCTCAGGACTGACTGGGATACACTGTCTGACAGCCTACGAAGTAGAAAGGTGTTTGAGCTTAATTTGGAAACCAAGGAAGATGTGTGATGATTCCATCTTAGTCTAGAATCTAAAGTTATGCCTAAGAATTTAGCAGTGACATCATCTTCCGGAAGCCATCTCATGGAAAAGACCATGTTTTGAGTTTTGGCCATGTTCAAGAACAAATTGTTGGCCTTGAACCAGAGCTCTGCCCTTTCCTGCGCCTCACGCGCCGCAGTCCTAGCTCCCTCGTAATCATGGCTGGTGCAAGCTATGGTAGTGTCATCCGCGGAGAGGGTGTACCGGGCGATGTGATCTGCTCGAGGTAGATCATTTATATAAATAAGAAACAAAAGGGGTCCCAAGATTGACCCCTGTGGTACACCAACCAGCACCTCCCTCTCCGAGGATTCCACACCACCAACCCTCACCACCTGAGGACGGTTTGACAAGTAACTAGATAGAACTGCAATACTACTATCGGAAAAATTATATTTTTTTAGTTTGGCAAGTAAAATTTTCCGTGAAACGCAGTCAAAGGCTTTGCTAAGGTCGCAGAACGTCCCGGACATGTACGTACCATTTTCAAAGGACTCTTGTATCTGAGAGACCAGATTAAGAACAGCTGATGTTGTATTTAAGCCACTCCTGAATCCGAATTGGCTGTCGGTAAACAGGTTCTCAGTCTGAAAAAAGTTAATGATACGTACGGCAAGAAACTTCTCAAAGATCTTTGAAAGTATTGGCAGTAGTGATATCGGTCTATAATTCGAGGGATCAGCAGCATCCCCCTTTTTATAGACCGGAACCACAACCGCACTCTTTAGAACCGATGGAAAGCTATTCTCTCGTAGACACTGATTCATAAGTTTAGTCAAGGGGATTATTATCAGCTCTTTGATACCTTTAATGATTTCAACTGTGAAACCAAAACAGTCTCTGCTCTTTTTGCTTTTTGTGTTGTTTATTATGTCTCTAACCTCGTTATAGGTAGCATCCTGAAAATAAAAAGTGTTTTCAGGTACTACCTGAATGAAAGAGAGGTCAACATCCGAAACACCAATTTGTGCCTGTAGTTCAAGTGCTACATTTATAAAGAAATCATTAAGTTGATTAGGTGGAATATTTGGTGTTTCAGATTTTTGACTTGATACCTTCCGTTGTTCATTAATAATGTTCCACATACACTTAGTGGGATTTGTGGCACTTCTAATTAGTTTATTATTAGCTACTATTTTGGCTTTTTTTATACAAAACCGATAAGATTTTTTGTAATTTATGAATTGTTGTTTGGTCTCTGGTGAAGGGTATTGAATTGAAAGTTCTCTTAAAAAGTTTAAAATTTCTCTCATTGATTTTAAGTCATCATTGAACCAATTGATGACTCGATTTTGATTTCTACGGTTGACATACGTTTTTTGAGGAAATGCATGCATTAGAGCTTTAACTAAAACATCCAAAAACAGAGAAAATTTGGCATCAGCAGTTATTTGAGCTTGAATGATAGAGTCCCAAGTTACTTCGCTGATAAAATGAAAAAATAGTGCCTTTCCTCTTTGTGTTATTGGCCTGCATACTACCCTTGTCAAATCAGTGCGATGAATCTTCAAGGGGACAGAGAACTCTACAATTTGACAAAGATGGTCAGAAAAAGCAGTGTCAAGCAGTGTCACCTGGCAGTCCCGCCTTTCATAACTAATGAAAACATTATCAAGACAACTACCACCACGAGTAGGTTCCATAACCAGTTTAGCCAGGCCAAATGATTGGAACAAAGCGCAGAGTTCAGTGGACTCTGTAGAGTTGGTATTAAAGTGCACGTTGAAATCTCCAGCCACAACCATTTGACCATAACCCGCAACCATGTTCAACGACCTCTCCATGGCATCAAGAAACAGATTTGTTGGTCCTGATGGTGCCCTATAAACTGCAACAATGTATATATTAAGTTCTATTATATGTATGCAACAAATTTCTATGATTCTCTCCTCAGTAAGGGACCCCATTTCATCTAAAACCTTAAAATTAGTAGTAAAATTTGATTTGACCAATATTGCTGTGCCTCCACCCCTATGGAAGGTGCGATAGGAAGCCGCTGCGAGGTTGTAGCCTGGTATACCAAAAAGAGTAGCTTCATTTTCAGTCAACCAGTGTTCACTTAGGCAGATAATGTCTACGTTCTTGTCAACCAAGAAAGCATCAATTTCATTGGTCTTGTTCCTGATGGACTGGATATTCTGGTGGAATAGTCGTATTTTTTGCCTATGACCAGTTAAGCTGTTTGGGAGGGGGTTTTGCCCTGCGTTTTCCTCATTTGAGGCCCTATTTTCCTCAGGTTTAAAAAATCGTTGACAGTTAGACCCACTGGCCAGAAACCACGATCCAGCAGCTCATCCCTATACCTATCGTCAAAGGTGTTTTCTCATGTCTTGCATTTTTCAAAACTGATTGAAAACAGTTTCACAATGACGTGATAACTTCTTGACCCGAGAAAATAGTTTAAAACCATGGATTGGATTGTATTTCGAAACGCGGTTTGAACCAATTTTGTGTGACGTCATGGGGTCATCGCGAGAATATACTATTTCAAACCTGTTTTGAACCAGTTTCAAAAAAGTGGACGCGAGAAAACTGCTCAACTGTTTCGGAAATATTGACAGTTTAAAATTGACTTTTTTGCATCTTTGACAGACTGTAAAATCTAAACAGCTGATGGTTGATTTTACAGCAAAACCGATTTTACATTCTTGTCCTAGATTTTCATAAGCTATTATTCAACACCAACTTTGATTTTAACCATAGGTTAATAATTCAAGCGGAATTTTTAATCATGGAATAAATTCAAAGTTCGTGTCAAATGATAGTTTATGAAAAACTAAGATAAGAATATATGATCGGTTTTGCTGTAAAATTAACCGTTCAGGTTTTACAGCCTGTCAAAGATGCAAAAAAGTCACTTTTCAACTGTCCATATTTCCGAAGCAGTTGAAGATAGGTATATGATATTATACATGAAATATGTCTAGAATTTTTCGCAGAATCCAGAAATGTCATAATATACAGGGGGACTCTTTAAAAAAAACATAACTTTGTGTCACCACTACTGATTGGGCCACCCTGTATACTGGAAAATAATTTAGGCATGTAGTACTCGTGTTTGTCTACAAGTCTTGTATTCAGTTTTTTCTTCGATCTCTGTTGGTATAGGAGATATCATATCATGAACCACCGCGCGCTTAGTAACTCACCCTGTATTATGAGACCCGATCAATGATAATCAATTAAACCAAATTTGGTGCTCCTTACTAAACTTTTGCCTTAAACTGTTCCCCAAAAAAACGAGACAAGCAATTTTTAGCACCATATTCAATTTGTAATATATTTCTTTTATTTATTTTTCTTTAATGTGGTTTTTGGTATTCGAAAGCTCATGTAGTATATCATGTGGGAAAAAATAATTTTTTTGAAGGAATGCATTTTTCAAGTTGTATGTATACAATACACCTAGGGTGAATAATAGCATAATATACTGATGCAAAAGTACAAAAAGTTTGGATGTCTGCCACATTTGACATTGGCAATATTTTATTTTTTTTAGTATTTCCGTATAGGCGGTTAATAAGTTAATATCAATATCTCCAGACGTATTGGCCAGTTTTTTGATAATTGCCCTTCCACTAGACAACAAAGTTGGCAAAATCTTGTAAGCCCAATGTTTAAAGGGCTTTAGCTTGAGAACGGTTGTATCGATTTCGACCAGCTTTCCAGGTTTT